CCCCCCCCTCCTCCTCCTCCTCCTCCTCCTCCTCCTCCTCCTCCTCCTCCTTCTGCCCTCCGCGCAGGCATTGCCAATCCGCAGGCGCGGCAGCTCGTCCGACCCCCGTGGGCATAATCTGGCCGACGGAAGCCGTCCTGAAGGCGAGGTCCCCTGAAGGTCTGAGTGGGACAGGGTCTGCGTGCGGGTCCCATGTGCATCTGCGCGTGGGTCTGCAACGACACTCCGCTGGACCCGACCCCCAGTAGCACAGCAAAGTGGCGACGGCTGTGAGCCTGGCAACACCCAGGGAGGGCGGGGTCATGTTTGAATCTGCGTGGGGTGACAGCTGGACGCCCAGGGGGCCCAGGTGGCAGCAGAGAGGGATGGCGGGGTCCGTTGCGTGTCTGGGTGGGACGCCACTCCGCTGGATCTCTCAAGGGCGCAGCAGCACGCCCAGCAACACCCAAGGAGGGCGAGGTCCCGTGTGGCTCTTCGAGAGACGACACTCTGCCGGGCCTCGCAGGGGGGCAAGAAAATAGCGGCAACTGCACGCCTTGCAGCACACAGGGAGAGCGGACACCCGTGTGGGTAAGCGTGGGACGACAGCTCCGCTGGACCCCCCAAGGGAGCAGCAGCAAGGTGACACGTGCACCCCTGGCAGGACCCAGCTGGGGAGAGGGCAGGGTCCACTGTGGGTCTGCGTGGGACGACACTCTGCTGGAACCCATGAGGGCGCATCAAAGAGGCGACACTTGTGGGCCTGGGCAGCACGTAGGGATGGCGGGGTCCCTTGTGGGTCTGAGTTGGACGCCACTCCGCTGGACCCCCAAGAGCACAGCACAACAAGGACAATTACACGGCCTGTCAACCCCCAAGCATGACAAGGTCCCGTGTGGGTCTTCGTCGGACGCACTCAGCAAGGTGACGACTGTTGCACGCCCATCAAAACTGAGGAAGTAGATAGGAGGAGGAGTAGGAGGAGGAGGAGGAGGAGGAGGGGGAGCATAAGGAGCAGGAGACGCGGGAGGAGGGGGAGCATAAGGAGGAGCACGAGGAGCTGAGAGGAGGGGTGAAAGCGGCGGGACGGGAAAGCAAACCGTGCATGATTCGAAGCGAGGGCCCAAGACAGAGGGAAGCCAGGAAAGAGGAAGGACGGGGAAGCGCCGGAGGAGAGCGATGCCGCGCGGGCGCTGGCAGGCCCTCCCTCAGACCCTCATCTCCTGGGCACCGTCAGCCCCAAGCGAGTACGCCTTGATGGGGGATTGCTTGTCGACTCCCACCCCCGCCGCGTACGCCTTGGCGGGGGAATGGGCCTGTTCGCCGTGCATGGCCTTGTCCAGGTCCTCCTGCTCCTCGGAGGTGGGCACAATGGTGGCCACGAGCCCGATAATCTTGAGGAGCACGACGGTGACCACAAAGGAGTAGGCCGCGCAGAGGAGCGCCGCCGCCAACTGCTTCCCGAACTGCTCGCCGGAGCGGGTCACAGTGCCCGGGTTCACGCACCAGCTGGGCTGGGCACCGTCCTCGCCGCACTCCGACGGGTCCGCCAGCAGGCCCAGCAAGCACGTGCCGAGAAAGCCGCCCATGCCGTGAACGCCCCACACGTCCAGCGCGTCGTCGACGCGCAGCTTCTTGCGCAGCTCGCAGAGGCCGTAACATGCCAGGGCAGCCACAATGCCGATCACAAAGGCGCCCCACGGCTGGATGAAGCCAGCGGCGGGCGTGACGGTGGCGAGCCCGGCGATGGCCCCCACGCACTTGCCGACCAGGGTGGGCTTCTTGTTGATGGCCCAATCTATGAGCATCCACACGAAGCACGCCACGGACCCGGCGATCTCGGTGTTGACGGCCGCAGCCACGGCGATGCCGTCAGAGGCCAGGGCGGAGCCACCATTGAAGCCGAACCAGCCGAACCACAGGATGGCGGTGCCGGTGGCGACCATCGGGATGTTGTGGGGCACGTCCAGGTCCTCCCGCAGCATGCCCTCGGGCACGGCTCGGCGGCCCACCACGACGAGGCTCGCGAGCGCAGAGAACCCGGCAGTGATGTGGACGACGATGCCGCCAGCGAAGTCCCACACGCCCCACTCGGCCATCCAGCCCCCGCCCCACACCCAGTGGCAGAACGGGGCGTACACGAAGACCATCCAGAGCATTACGAACGCCATGTAGGGGCCGAAGCGGAAGCGCTCGGCGAAGCAGCCCGTCATCAGCGCCGGGGTGATGACAGCGAACATGCCCTGGTAGCCGGCGAACAGGAGGTGCGGGATGCCGGCCGCTGGCCCCTCCGAGTGCATGTTGACGCCACGAAAGCCCGCGAAGGTGGTCGGGTTCCCGAAAAACTCTGCGGTCTCTCCGAAGCACATGGAGTACAGGAACAGGAACCACAGCGCGGTCACCAGGCCCATGGTCGCGAAGTTCTGCATCATGATGGTGATCACACTGCTCTCGCGCACCAGGCCTCCGTAGAAGAGGGCCAGGCCTGGCGTCATGAACTGGACCAGTGCCATGCTGACGAGGATGTAACCCGTGCTCGCGCCATCCTGCGACATGGTCGCAACCTTCTGAGCCTGGAGGCAACAGGAACACACAAGAACAAGCAGCTGGGTCAAAATGCAGTGCCTGAGCCAAAAACGGCTACAAAACGAGGAGGAAGACAAAAGAGGAGGGGCAACCGCAGGAAGAAATGCAGTAGGATGATCACCAGCTGGAGGAGGAAGGAGAGGAGAACGAGGAACATGAAGATGACCACGGAGCTAGCGGATCTTGCATGAGCGGTAACTTTCACCGCGATCATCCAGAAGCCAGTAGCCTAAGAGGCCAGGACAGAAATCCAGAGCGACCGCTGAGCCTCGTGCACGTGCAGAAGGAATAAGAAATGAGTAGAGTGACACATGAGCAGGTGAGAATTACATTCGATGAGGTTTCAAGCTGGCCCTGCTTCATGGAAATTGCTGAAGGACCGTTCCGTCGAAACGCTGAGGGGAGGCTTCTTACAGATCGGCACACCGATGAGTAAGTGACCGCAGATAGAGAAAGGAACATTCCCGACGCTCTGGTACGGCCTGCATTGGGCAACAGAACGATACGAGAACCAGTGTTCCTGGACGTCGGTCCCGACCTGGGAAGAAGGGGAATGGAAGAGGGCAGGAACGACCGAAAAGGAAAGAGACAAGGAAGAAGGGGAAGGGGAGGCCCCGAGGGAGAGACGGGCAGCGGTGCCCAGGGCGATGGAGCGGCCTTGGCCAGGGCGACCAGCTGCGCAGCATCCTCGGCCGCATTGACCGCGGCCGGCTGCTTGGCGAGGTCAGCGGCCTCGGCTTCGCCAACATTGAGCTGAAAACGAACACTACCATCGTCACCACCATTACCACCCCCTCCATACAGTGCCGCGGCGCTACGCCTGTGCCCATCGGCCAGATTAGCTTGCGATGGATGTTCAAACTTCCATGTGGTTATGTTAATCCACTTCATCCTTCTCCTCCTCCTCGTCATCATCCTCGCCATGCTCCACCCGCAGAGCTCCTGAGCTGCCTTGGTCCTTCCGTAGGGGCGACACCAGACGGCAAGCTAGGAGGTCCCAAGAAGCCTCCCAGAGGCCCCGAAGAGGGCCTTAAGAGCCCAAGACAGCCGAAGATGGCCTCACCATGCCTTTCACACTGCCCAGAAAGCCCTACGACATCCCCGAGGAAGCAAAACACGTGGAACAACAAATGAATGCTACATGTGTTGCCTTTTCCATGTTTTCCGCCGAAGATGTCCCAATAGTGTTTTTAGACTGCTCCAACAACACCCAAGACGGCAGCAAAGTAGCCCGAAAAGGCCCCGATGTGCAGCTAGGATTGACCTTGATGGCCCGACGAGGCCTCAAGATGGCCCCGAGAGGCCCCCAAGATGGGCCACCAGATAGTGCCAATGGATTCCCAAGATGGCCCAAGGGGCCCTTAAATGACAGTGGTAGCAGCACTGATGACAGTATTCGTGAGGCGAGGGGGAGGAGGACAGGACAAGGGAATGTGGATAGGTAGGGGTGCGTGGAGGAGAAGCGGCATTCCCACAGGCAGACAGTCCGACCGAGTCAATGCTCGGGACAGAATCGGGTGCGACTGCGTTAAACCTCAAACATCAAGGTTGGGCTCCGAGTGAAACATTCACGAAGTCCCCGTCGTGCTCGGGAAAATTAGTGACCAGGCTCGCTTGATACCAGTCAGTTTCAAAATTAGCAAATACTTACATACTGTCTTCTGACAGGGATGGCGAAGGCTGGATCGAATTCGTCTGCAGTGCGCTCGCCCATCGCCCGTGTCGATTGAGTGTGCGCAGGCCGTGTTGGAATAGATTGCCCGATGTGTGCTGTCGTGCGCACTGGCACACCCTGCGAGCGTCGCGCACCTGGCGAGGTTTGAGCAGATGGCACACATGCCGCATCTGGCGCAACAGGCGCGCCTGGCACGCCCTGGCCCCTGGGCCACCTGAGCGACGATCGAAAACTGGTCTTACGCGAGATGGCATAGCGACCTTACGCGGCGGCTTACGCGGGCCGCCCGCGCGGCACGCCATATTTGAAGCGAGGGCGCTTACGCGCGAACTTACGCGAGAAGCTCACGCACCAATGTCGGCGCAGTCGACCCGCTGTTTTGGGTCGCTCACCTGGCGCGCGTGATGCACTGGGCACGCGTTGCGCACCCCGCGAGCGTCGCGCACCTGGCGTTTGCACATGTTCCCGAGGATTGTTCCTCCTCCTCCTCCCTCCTCCGCCCTCCTGCTCCTCCTCCCCCCCCCCTCCTCCTCCTCCTCCTCCTCCTCCTCCTCCTCCTCCTCCTCCTCCTCCTCCTCCCTCCTCCTCCTCCTCGTCCTCCTCCTCCTCCTCCTCCTCCTCCTCCTTCTCCTCCTCTTCATATGATGGCGACCTCTGCATAAGCTGGCCTCGGGTGCTACGTGCTACTTACACGGTGGCAGGTTAGCCGGGAGCGAGTGGGTGAGCGAGACAGCCTGCGGCGTTCACGTTGGGAACCTGAACTCTCCACCTACCCGTTCCCAGTCCCCCCCAAGATGGCTCAGATATCCCAAGGTAGCCTCCCAGCTGGCACAATGTGGCTCAGGATGGACGGGGTGGATTTTGTTACGCCTCCAACAATACCAAAAGACGGTTGCAAGTAGGCACGGAGATACCCAACCGTACCCAACACGGTGCAAAAGAGCCCAAACATGGGCCCAGGAGGATCCCATGAGGCGGCCAGAAGACTCCAAAGGTCACCATTTTTGCCCTCTCTGTTTCATTATATGTCCTCTGCGTTTACTGAGCATCGTGTCTGGATTGAGCTGCCACGACTGGTTCTCCCGGCATCACTCTGGTGGCACAACGTGGCTCTCCACCTCTGTGGTGCTCCTATTCCTCTCGTGCGTCGACCTGGTCAAGTGGCGCGTCCCTCCCGCAGTACGTGAGGCTGGTGTTCGCGAAGCGCCGCTGAAGGCTACACCACCGGCCCGTTTTTTCTCCCGGGACTTCACCGCCGGGCCCCTGTCCGAGGTGTACCTTTTCCTGCACGTCCCGTTCGGCACCGCCTGATCCCCGGGCCCCGCCCGCTCTTGGCCGCGTGAGGCCCCGCCTGCTCTCGCCCCCTCTCTGTCAATTAAAGCCGCGCGAGTCCCGCGGAGCTTTTAGCGGAAGAGGCTCGCTCTCGCCCTGCAGATCCAAAAAAAACCACAACAAAAAAGTCTGGATTGAGCTGGTGGGGGAATGAGACGCCTCAAGAACGCTGAGCCCTCTGGCCGAAGCAGGCAGCTCCCCCTGTCTGGGGCTCTGCTGCCAGTAGAGTGCGCAACACGCTAGACCTCCCCTTGAACTGGGAGCAGGAACGGCTGGACAGGGGGCGGACAAAGCAAGAACAGAAAGAGGCTAGCCCCCGTAGTGGTTCGAGAAACTAAAGACGGCATCGAGACCTCTGCTCAGCTTTGCTGAGAAGTTTTGGCCAAAGCCCAGCATCCAGACGGTTGAGATAGACGCGTCTGCGCGGCTCGATCCATTCGGAGCATGAGTTCTCCAGCCCACGCACGGAGACATGAGTGCAGAAACCGCCATCTAAACAAAACCAACGTTATGGTCTGTCTGGAGCCTGATCTTGCGAGAAGCACGAGCCCACCCCTACCCCCCCGCGATGTGAAGCCGACCCCCCACAGGAAGAGCCAGAAACTTATCATTCACTGGGGATGGGGTGAAACACGGGAATACTGCCACTCAACAAGGGTCGCTGCCGTAGCCGAGCCGAAACACCTGAGGCACCTTTTCCGAGAGTCATCCAACATGCGCTCAGAGCAGGAGGCGGAAACCACACTGGGAGAGGGGTGCGAGAGGGGGTCCGAGACGACCCAGCCTTCTTGCCTCCACCTCCCCGCCCCTCGGCCTGCATGGCGCCCAAGGACGACCGCGGCAGGCGGCGCCTCACCAGCCAGGCGCGGCGCTCCTGCTTGAGAACGCTGCGCCTCACACGCCGCGGGATCTGAGCGCGGAGGGCCGCCTCCGAGGCGAGGCGATCAGCCGCAATGTTATCTGCCACGAGCTCGGATGGTACACCGTTTTTCCGGATTGATATCAGGCAATTTGTCCAAATGCGAATTCACGAACAGCATCGAGACTTGACCGACTCTGGAGCGCATGTGGGTCCCGAATATCAGCAAGATCACTGCATCGGTGCCAGAGAGATCGAGAAACTTCTGACCAAAAAACAGATATCAAAGACTCGTTGTCGGTCACATATACAATATATCTCGTCGACGCTTGGAAAGCAAGCTCAAACGCCGGCAATTCACCTCCGGGCACTGACTGCCTGTCACCTGGAAGATCTCCTGAAACGGAAGCCCTCACAGCCAGTAGAAGCAAGGAAGAGAAAGACGCGACTGCAAGTCCCATACGCCGAAACATGCTGCCACCTGAATCCTTCCCTCCCGATGCGCCTCCAAAAACCAGCAGCGGCTCTAGTGCTGCGCCGTGACCGAGGAGACCCTCGAAAACAGCGTTGCACCCAGTAATCAACCAGTCGCCACTGCACTGCGGCGGCGGCAAGGCTGTGTCTCTGGACGACACCTGGCCCCGTAACCAAAAAACCTGGATCTGACTCGGCTTGGACGAAGGCTTCAGCTATCAAACAAGATGGCTGTTCGCACGCTGCAGCTTCGACGTTGCCCTTAGATTCCCAACAACTGTGGAACGCAGTCTCCGAAAATTCCTGGCGCCTAGGACAGAGGCCACACAGGGGCCCATCAACTCCACGTGTAGTGCGAACCCTGGGCCAGTAACCTCCAACCGCGATGGTCGCCATCAACTCACTCACACGCTCGCCCTGCGGAACGGCCTTTAAATGTGCCAACAGCCATCGATGGGGAAAAACTGTCAATACCGCCCTGCATGCCTTCCCCACGCCAGCGCTGCGACGCCTGCCGCCACAACTGCAAAGTCAATGTCACGCAAAAGTGGCTCTGAAGAAAAGTCCAAGATTACATTCCCCGAGAGACCAGATTCAGGAAACTTCCAAGCATCCAGATCCCCCGGAAAATCCGAGGGCGCCTTCCAAAAATCTGGTTCCAGCGGGCCCCAACCAGCCTCCAGTAAATGAAGCATCACAGCACCCATGGGCCAACGTATACGACGAGAACGGTGCGCTGGCGTAACAGATTTGAATTTAGATAACCAATGAGGCCAGGACCGACATACACCAGAGTGCACCGACGGGGTCGATAAACAATTGCGCAGCCAAAGAAATGGACACTTGAACGGGTCACTGAACTGACGCGTCGCCTCCTGGAGCCCGAAAGTCAGGCAACGCGGTGAGACATCTGCCTCGTTTGTCCAATCCGCGCGCTGCCCCGATCTGCCTGCGACAGCGAACCAAAGCCGATCCACATACCCCATGAATCCCATGACCCCGCAAGTGAGCTGCCAGAGTGCCCACACGTTCGAACTGTGATGTCGCGGCACATCTTCGACTTGCCCGAGCGAAACGAAGCACCTGACAACTCGATTCGCCCTGGGCCCCCTCGCACGTCTCCTCCCCCCTCCGAGATCAGCTCCCAAATAACCTGCGTGGCCGACGGCCTTGACAGGGAAGCCAGCACGCGAAAGCTGAGCCGCTATGAAGCGGGCGTCAGAAGTCTGCGAACAATTGATGACTGACTTCGGTGGAACCTGAAGCTCGGCACTGCAAGGGGCTCGACACGCGTTCAGAAGTCCTTGACACAACGCAACGCTGCGACTGATCATCGATCCACATACGCGTGGACATGGATGGACGTGGAATTGCGATCCTGTAAATATACCACGCACCTCGCGGAGCGCGCGACAGACCGAATACCCTGAACAAAGAGGCGGGCGGGTGAAAAAAAGAAGCATAAGTAGAAGACTGCCCCAACGCGCGAGGTCCAACGCATACTAACAACTCCAAATACAGAACGGCCAGCGGAAACCCAGCCGCGAGGCGCAGCGCATGAGCGCTGCCCAGTCGATGGCGCAATAAAAGCTTCGCACATCTAAAAAAATCCGCCCAGACCCTATTCCTAGAGCTCCAGACACCTCGCCCCCCAAGATTTCCCTAAAAGCCTCCTGGAGGGCCCCGTTCCCATTGACGGCAGCATCCCAGAGCGGCTCGTTGGCCGCGCTTCTGGACTGAACGATCGACTCGCGAGCCTCAGACCAGACTCTAGCCGCCATGGACAGCACCCCAATGACTCCGTCACATTTCGATTTCTTGGGTTGAGGCCTACCAAATGGCAAGGGATACCTGAAATGGTCCGACCATCGCATCTTCTACCATAGAGTAAAACTGACACAATTCTTGGAGTGCAATGTCTGACAATCGTTCAAAATCCAGCGGCGTGAGAACGTCCATGCCAAGCCCAGCACGAGGCTTCAAGCTGTGCGCTGCAGCGCGGATGTTTGCTGGAGAGAGCGGCTCGAGCGGCTCGATCTCCGCAGCTGCCCGAATGTCTTGAAATGCGGCCATGGCGGAATCCCCATTAATGTCTTTCGGGGCCCACAGCTTGCTGAACGGCAAAGCTTTGGCACCCACGATATCTCTGGGATTCCGTCTCGTGTTCGTTTGCAGGGCGTGGCTCCCGGCGCGTGGCGCGATGTATACTTCCACGGGCTTTAGCAGACACAGACACCATCCATCGTTAAACTCGGCCAAGGAATTGCGCGACGCGCGGGTTCTGACCCGAGCTGTTATATGGGTGGCCGCCTTGACAAAGTTCTGCACAATGTCGGAGGGAACCGAAACCCCTCTCGGCAATCGCTGGCTCCAAGAGCCCCAACAGGGTTCCGACCTAAGACGAATCCCCACGGGTGCCTCGCCAGGAGCCCCCAAAAGTAAGCGCCTGCAAGAAGAACGAAGCTGCTCTCGTTGGACGACCACATCCCCATTAATCCTGCGCCCCAAAGGCGCCCCAGCACCGCACACACTGTTTCCCACCAGGAAGCCAGATTATTAGAATACGGCACCAGACGACTTCTTGCACAACAAAACAATAGCCTTGTGAACGCGACGAACCTGCCGAAGATGTCTGCCAATGATGATCGCACATCATCTTGTCCAGCGCCGATACCCACGTCGCATATAGAGCGGAAACTGCGCTCGCAAACCCGGACCCGAACCTCGCAGCTACGGAAGCAGCAAAGGCAGGAGCAGGAGAAGGAGCATAAACGAACCCCGTCTCGACGCGGGCATTCACCCACGCATCAGAAGGCATCTGGAAGTTGACGAGCAGCTCATCGTTGCATGTGGGGAGGGAGCAGCTCGACACACACCCCAGGGGCGGGAGGGGCAACTGCACGGCACTGAGATAACGAGATGCGAACATCAGGCACCAGACCCCACGTGATGGCAGGAGCATGTTGTGGCAAACAAAGAATGGGCCCATGATTTGATCCTGCTCGGCCATCTGAGCGGAAGCTCGATCGCCCCAAGGAGCGCCGGGGGCGCGCGAAGAAACCAGACGCCGAAGCGTTAGGACCGCCAGACCCTCCAGACGTCCCCAGATCTCGATCAGCACAAACATCCAACTCGCTGGCCCATGGGTCTTCTTCGAATGCGGCATCGGAATAGTTCCAAGAGAGGACGCCGACATATTAAAGCACCACACGAGAAGCCGTGCGAGCTTAACGGTGCCAAAAGGGAGCCTGACTTGGAGAACCTCTCGACGTGAGGGCCTGACATGCCTTTGGACGTAAACGAATAAGAAGTAACTAGAATGTAGGAATATCCAGTCATGTGAATGCGCGCGGCGGTGAATCCATCCACTGTGGCCTGAACACCAAACCGAAAACCCGAAACACGACCGAGTTAAGAAACTAACGATTTGCTTGCGTGTGTCAAGGCAGCAAAATCCATTCGCCACCATCGGTGGCTCTTTCCTGTCCCTGACTAGTCCGAGCGCAACCAGTGTTCCGAGCAGCGTTCACAATCAAGCGAAGGTTGGAAGAACGCGCGTTCTTCTGCCACGTTAGAAGATTGGGTCGGGCAGCACGCGTCTCGACGAGAGAAGAGGCACCGAACTTGCCGCCCTGAGCAGCAGCCGAGACAAACTCCCAGACTTTACCCCCCATGGCCGTGACATTGCCATAAAGGATGTGAGTGAATTCAGCCTGCTCTGAGCGAGCTCCGGCCTCAAAACTTAGAGGTCCCTAATCAATGCTCGCCATCTGCTGGCGCAACCTCCTCGGCATGACGCTGAGCTTCGAACTGCGCTTGAGAGATGCGGGCGGCCTCCTGTGCAATCTTCGCCTCGGTGACCGCGCGGTCCTCGGCGCTAGAGGCCGCACTGGTCTCCCCTGCGGCCGCCTCCGAAGCGGGCCTGCTCTCCGCCTGCGACGGGCCCTAAAACCGTGAGGCCTGCCCAGTCGACGCTGGCGTAGACGGTGAAGCTCCTTGTTGATCGGCTCGACGCTTCTTGGACATGCGCTCGGAGATGAGCTGGCGAGTCTTCTTCGCGTGATCTACCCACCTGGAGACCTCATCGGCCTTGGTGGACAGGGACTCCTTGGCGGCAAGCAGCTCGCGATGGCAATTCCTCGACAGCTCCAGCTCATGCGGCTCGCACTCCAAAGAACCGAGATCGTCGAACAGGTCGGAACGGGAGGGAGGGAGGGAGGGAGGGAGGCAGGGAGGGAGAACAAAGGAATGGGACGGGGGGGGAGGGCAAGAGAAAGAATGGAGCAGGGCTGGAGCAGCAGCTGGACGGGGGGGGCTGGGGAAGGGGGGACCCCCGGCGAGAACGCGAAGCGTACGGAAGGACAAGCAGGAGAGCTCGACGATGGGAGCGGAGGGGGCACAGTGGCCTTGGACTTCTCCTTCTCCGACTCGGCGGCCTTCTGCTTGGCGGGGGCCAGGGCCTCGGCGTCCCCAGAATTGAGCTCCAAACGAACACGGCCACCACCTCCATTCTCACTGTGAGCCTACGCAGCAACCTTCCAGAAAAATGGCTTCACGCGCCTGCCCGATCGTACCTGCCCCCATCATCCACACCTCCCTGCGACAGGGGATCGAGGTAGTCCTCCAATTCTGGTGGTCCTCCCCCTGGCCTTTGCATTCTACGCAATGCTCATTCATTATGGTCCTCAACAAATGTGTCCTTCTCATCGTCGTCGTACTCATCCCTCCTCCTCCTCCATCCTCCTCCTCCTCCTCCTCCTCCTCCTCCTCCTCCTCCTCCTCCTCCTCCTCCTCCTCCTCCCTCTCTCCTCCTCCTCTCCTCCTCCTCCTCCTCCCTCCTCCTCCTCCTCCTCCTCCCTCCTCCTCTCCTCCTCTCCTCCTCTCTCTCCTCCTCCTCCCTCCTCCTCCTCCCTCTCCTCCCTCCTCCTCCTCTCCTCCTCCTCCTCCTCCTCCCTCCCTCCCTCCTCCTCCTCCTCCTCCTCCTCCTCCTCCTCTCCTCCTCCTCCTCCTCCTCCTCCTCCTCCTCCTCCTCCTCCTCCTCCTCCTCCTCCTCCTCCTCCTCCTCCTCCTCCCTCTCCAGGGCTCGAGCCAAACAGTGGTCTCCGTTGTTCGTGTTGTTTTCGTTGTCCCTCCTTCTGGTTTCGTTTCAACCTTGCTGCAAAGCAATATCAAAACGACAATGCTCCACGAAATGGCCAAGACACCGTCTGGCTCGAACCCTGCGCTGCTCCTCCTCCCCCCTATCATCTTGAGCACGGGGCGACCGCCTCGGTATTCCCAGAATGTGTCTGCCACGACATTTTGCTATATCAGAACTGGCTCTAAGAACAGCAGCAGCTTTCTTTGAACATAAATTGATGCCTCAAGGTTACAGACCGCCTCAAGCCAGAAACGTTCTTACAAGGTCCTCTGCGATCCACACAAGGCTCGCATAATACATTTGCGGGCGTATGACCAGACCAGGGCGCTTGCACGCTGCTTGACTGTCCCCCAGCCCTCCCCCATCAGCACGAGCCTGGGTCGCACGGCCACTAAACGCACACTGACGCAATGCCCGCTTCAAGCTAAAAAGCATCCTCCCTCATGCTCCCGTCTCCCCCTTCTTCCCCTTTGCCTCCTCTGCCTCCTCTGTGCCCCCAGCTGAAAGGTAACGATAATTGCTCAGGCTTCCGTTCGAGGCCAGACGACGATGTGTTTTTACATACAGTGGCGCCACCGACCGGAGCGAGTGGGCAGGCAAGCAACGAGTCACAATACCTTCCACACCCGAGTGTGGCTTCGGCCACACGCACTGCTCAAGGCGAAAAACGGGCGGGCGTGGTGGGCGCCTGGAGCCCATACGGTTAAGGCGGCCCGACCCACTCATGCTCCGCAAAACGCGTTAGTATAACTGCAATTGCTCAGGCTTCCGTTCGAGGCCAGACGACGATGTGTTTTTACATACAGTGGCGCCACCGACCGGAGCGAGTGGGCAGGCAAGCAACGAGTCACAATACCTTCCACACCCGAGTGTGGCTTCGGCCACACGCACTGCCAAGACAGCACCGTCAAGCTAGAAAATGCCATACTTGCACGAGTGCCAACTGGCTCCGCCGGGACTTAAGCAACAGACAGGAATCTGTCAAATTTCTGAGCGGTTCGCGCAGCAATTATGTCCTAGAACCGTTTGGCGATGAAACTGCAAAGCGGGGCTGGATATGGTTCGGCAACTTTAGTCCAAAACACACCGCCCTGACGCTTGCCGACCAACTGCTGGTGCGGCTCGCCAGTGCGGGCACACATTCTGCGGCTACCGAGGCACCTGCGAGTGGCGAGCCCAGAGAGATCGACGAGGTACGATACAAACGTGGTGGACTTCTTAAAAGGTCCAGCCCACATGCAGAAATCAGTGTACACGCTGCTGACATTCTTCCGTTTCGTAAGGGCAACGATTGAGTTACACAGCCACAGGCGCGAGGTTCGCGGATTCTCCAAAGACCAGGGGATCCGTCGAAGGATGGCCTCACGACACAAGCGGCATGCGAAGCGAGTGAGATTATTGGCAAGCGTCACTTTGCGCTGCAAGGCGGCTGAGAGGTTCGGAAACCCCCACGGCCACGCGTCACTCCTCAGCGGCGGCGGCCCGCCTCCACGATCGCGGATGCGGGAGTAGGTCTGGCACGGCAGCGCGACGTGAAACCCGATGATGAGGCCTCCAGCGAGCCAGCCCAACAGCAGGTTCTGATTCTTGCCAAGCGTCAGGTCATAGGCGTCACCGAACGAGATGTCCCACCAGAGCACCTGCAGCCCGTCATGCGCAGCAGCACGCCCCAGCCTGCCCGCAGGCCGCTTCAGCACCGCCTGGCGCCACTGCGGCCCGAAGCGCGCCTCCAGCATGGCGCCGAGCGCTGGGCCGAGAGCCGCCTGCCGGTCCAGGTCCAGGAGCTGTGCCTGGTCGAACTCCTGGGTCTTTGAGGCCACCCCGTGCTCGCGGGCGCGCAGCGTCAGCGACCAGCTGCCGCCGGCCCGCGAGCCCGCCACCGGCGGCACGAGGTCCCGCGCGCGGAGGGTGAACGGCTCGTTCGGGCGGTAGTACATCTCGAACGTCAGCCAGGTCACGAGCCCCTCCTCCCACAGGCCGTGCGCCCACATCCACATCACTATCATGCACATCACCTCGCACGGCACCCCGAGCCTGGAGCCTGCAGGCGCCAGCCGCTGCCAGCCCTTGAGCGCGCGGCGGCTCCGCGCCATCCGCGCGCCGCCCGCCCTGCTCAGCGCCGACTGGTGGAACAGCACCGCGGCGAGCATCCGCCGCCCCAAGCTCACGTGCGCACCGTCGAGGTACATCTCGTCCAAGTACTGGGAGAGGGTCTGGTCGGTCTCCAGCTCGCCCTCGGGCATCAGGCGGCCCTGGCGATTCAGCCAGCGCTTGAACGAGGCAAAATCGTCTTGGTACAGCCGCAACTGAGTCTGGCAGACAGTCAACCCCTCGGCCGCGGTCGCGGCCGCCCGCCGCCTCGCCGCCTCCTTCACGCGGGCCTGCCCGGCGCGCAGCGCAGCTGCTCGCGCCAGCGCCCGCGGCGCCCGACGGGACACAGCCGCCGGCGCGCTGCTGGGAACGGCCCGCGAAGGAAACGCCGCCGACGAAGATGGGGTCGAAGCGGCTGGCGTCCGCGTCTGGCTGCTCCTCCCCGAGGGCCGCGAAGCCGACCCAGTCGGCGGGGAGCCGGTCGACGGCGACGCTCGCAGCAGCATCGCCTCCTGCCGCGGGGCGCGGCCGCTGGGCAGGCGCGGGCTGCCCAGCCGAGCGAAGCCACTCCAGCTCGTGAGGCTTCGAGAGAGAGACAGCGGCTGCGGCACTGACGGTACTGCAAGCCCTCTCGAGGGCCCGTCAGCCACGTTCCACTCTGAGGGGAGCCACCGGCAGTGACACACGCACCCAGTGGCCAGACAGAGAGCAGCAACGGACTGGGCGACCTTGAGCATCGCCCTCGAATCAGACCGCCCCTTCGAGACAGCGCAGGCAGCGACGAGGGCGCCCCCCAGGACCGCGATCCGCCGCCCGAAGTTCTGAAAATTCCTCCGGGCGTGTCGGAGCGCATATAGGATAGCCCGGCCCTCGAGGATAGGCATCGGCTCCTCAACGTTCCACTTGTACCTCCCGACGATCTTCCAGTCACGTCTTAAGAGCTTCAGGGGTACCCCACGAAACACGGCGTCACGAGAATCGCCGAGCCCGGAACCCAGGACGGCGGCGGCACTGCCAGCAGGCGGCGGCCCCCCATCAACATCCCAGAGACCTCCGGACCCGTTGTCGTGCACTCCAGACAGCCACTGCACCTCGGGGTCGTCGGACACGGCGGCAGCGGCGGCAGCCTGAAGTCGCGGGGGAAGACGCGCACCCCCAGAGAAACGCCACCGCTCGCAATGTCTCCCAAGCCCCCGGGCCTCCTCAACAGAGATCGGCGACGAGCAGACTCCCGAAACAGTCGGGGAAGCGTCGACGGCGCACAGCGACGGCCCCCACGAGGCCTTCAGGTTGCGCCACAGCAGCGGCGCGATCCCCTCCCAGATCGTGAGCTCGTTGATGACACTGGGCCACAGCGGGGCCTCCTCGGAGTAGAAGCGGCGGATGAACGCGAACAGCGTGTCGAAGACCGAGAGGCTTCCCCGTCGGACCAGGCTGATAAACCCCATGTGCCCCACAAGCCTCTCGAGGATCTTCCCAGAGATGCGGCCACGACGAAGCACGGCACGGACACACAAGCGAGCCCTCCAGACACGGGCCCGGGTAGGCCTCAGGACAGCGGCACGACAACTGATATCCCATCCCAAGACGGTGCGGTCCCGAGCGAGATCCTCTCCGGGCGAGTCGACATCGGCGGTCACGACCAACCCCGCCTCCCTGAAACCCTCCACGACGGCGGACGCGAGGCGATGCACCTTGGAGGCGACAGTCGAAATAGCCACGAAGTTGTCGACATACTCGAGATGGCAGGCCCCCGTAAGAGAGGGGATGACACGACGATCCTGTAACCTCTCCTCGGGTTGTCCTCCACACCGCTCGACCAATCTCTCATGCACACGTTGACACCACCACAATGCCCAAGTCCACCCCATGGGGCACACGCGAAGTCTTGGGCATACCCACGCCCCGTCGCGCACCGGCATCCCGTCGATCTCAGTCAAGCCGATATCCCGAGCACGGACACGCCTAAGGGTGAACAGATCCCGCAACTCGACAGGCAGCTGCAAATGGTAGAATGCATTGGACAGGTCAGCTTCCGAAATATAAAGCGTCTCGTCTTCACCGACTTCGAGGTTCCCAAGGGTCTCACCAGTACAAAGGGTCACATTATCAGGCTCACGAAACCAAACGTTGCTGTGACGACAATCGCAAACGAGTCTCAACCGCTGATCCTTTTTCGGAACACAGAAGAACTCCACGGACTCTCTGCCGCGGTCGCAGGCAAAATCTAGCAGGCCGCTGCGATGAAGCCGCGATACAAAATCGCTCCACACACGCGGTTGGCGAAGAGCTGGGTCGGAAGAGGGCGCCCTCACGCCGCACATCTTCCTCCTCTCCAGCGCCGGCCCCGCAGGTAGCACACTATCGCGGACGAACTCCGCGACGCGCCTGCGCCCGCCTGCGCCCCACAAGTCCGCGAGCGGAACCGCATGGCTCCCCACGGACGGCAGCGAGAGCAGATCGGGACTGTAGTTCCCCAGCTTCACGTCCTCGTCGGAGCCGTAGAAGCCAGGCGCTCGAAGCCTCCGCAGAGCTTCCGAGGTGTCGACGCCTGCCGGTGGAGCCCCCAGCGCTCCAACTGAGTCGCGCACGTGCTCCATGATGCGCTGCTGCATCAGCGACAGAGGACCACCACTGAGTTGACCCTCTCCGCCCGGCACAACGTCAGGAGAGTGATGCAGTGAATTTAGGGCGACAACCGCCCTCCGAACGTCGAGATCGCGAGCGTGACGCTGCTGAACCCGCTGGCGGCATCCTCGCGACAACAATCCACCACGGTCAGCACATACAGATGAGACTGGCGGTACTGGCAGAGGAAGAGGATTGCGAGCAACCAGACGTGCGGGCTCATCACGACCAAGAAAAGATCGTTCGAATTGACCATGCGAAGGCGCCCCCCGGTCGCCTGGCGACCGGGGGCCACAAAGGGGGCGCTCCATGCCCCCTCAACCTTGTCCGTCCTTCTTCCCCTTCTTGAGAGCCTCCTTCTCTTCACGAGCCTTACGGAGGTTCTTTGCCAGGGCAGCTTCACGCTCTACTTCCTTGCGTACAAACTCCAACCAGTCAGGGCACACCATCAAGCTGGAAGAAATCCGAGTCGAGCCCGCGAAGTGCGTCAGCTCCTCGATCGACAGCTTCCCGCTCTCATAGGCCCCTTCACGCTCCCTCACCTTCTCCAGGTACGAATACTCGATCGTCTGCATGCGACGGAAGATGGCCTCGCAAGCCTGTAAGTTCGTGCCGTCGCACTGGTCAGAGAGCAACAACAGGCGGATGTACTGCGTGCACTGGAAGTGCTCCTGCACGCACCACTGGGTCGGCTCGAGCTTCGCCACCGCCCGAAACCGATCGTGATGCCCGTCGATGCCCATCCCCTCATTGTCGATGAACTCGATGCACCAGAACGTCGTCCGCGGGCCTGTCACCAGCCAGTCGCGCTCGAAGTCCTCCTCACGAACGCGCGCAGCCACGACCGCCCACGTCACCTCGCGGCGGGCGCCCGTACGCATCACGGGCATCACGCGAGCGTCGGCTGCCCCCGCGCGCCCCACGAAGTCCTCCAACTCGGCCGCCGGCACCTCCTCAACGAACAGGGCACTCCCGTCGGCGAGGATGTGGAGGTCGCGCCCGCGCACCGCAGCTGCCGTCGCCACGTGCCCTGGCACTTCGTCACCGTACCGCACGTCCCCGAGAGACTGAGCCGCCCGCTCAGGCTCCGCCGGCTGCTCGCAAGCAGCGCAGGCAGGGCAGGAGCGCGGCGCCTCCGCACGCCCCTCAGGAGCGGCGCGCGGCGCCTCGGCCGCCACCGCGGGGCAGACCAGCGTGGGGCACGCTGGGCAGCTGACTGCGGCTGGCGGAGGGCACGTGAAAGAAGGACAGGCAGGACAGGGCAGCAGGGCACCGGTGGAGGTACGCGATGGTCGCGCCGACCGCCCCTCCCAGCACCAGCGGCCACATCCACGCCCCGCGCGGACCGCTCCCTCCGTTACGCATTGAGCCCATACGGTTAAGGCGGCCCGACCCACTCATGCTCCGCAAAACGCGTTAGTATAACTGCAATTCGGCGGGGACTGGCTTGGGGGGGAGACATCGACCTGGAATCGGCGATACATCGCCGATAGATCGGCGATAGGCCCCCGACAGCACATCCGCACGTTCCTGGACGGGGTGGGCTATCAGGCTCCTGTCGGCGATCAATGGGCGGTTAAGGATCGATGCAGTCCCATCAGAGCCTGGCGAGGGCACTCAGAAAGCGAAAGTTGCTAAAAAACTCTTGTCGCTAGTACGATTTCACGACCTGAAAATGTGGCCCTGACTCTGGATCCGACGCTTTGAGCGATTTCGCAAGTAGGGCGGAAATCCCCGCCCTACGTTTCAAGCTCCTTTGATGTCGATGTCCACCCTACTTTGCCGTCGCTGCATCCGCAATACCTTTACAGAAATACCAGCCTACTTTTCTGAGGAACGGAGTGGGCGTGTCCGCAGATCCTTTGCCAATCCCCTGAGCCGCAGTCATCAATCAGCAAGTTTAAAGACCCGGACCCCAAAACCTCAAATATACCCCGCCTCTCGGCATGCCCTCCAGGCTCCGGGGCGTCTTGCCGCGTGAACTTGGGCCGAAGAGGGCCCCAAGACAGGCCAAGAGGGCTCCAGGAGGCCTCCAAGACGGTCCAGGAGGGCCCCAAGTCGCCGAACCATCGCTCCAGATCCAAGAAGTCCAAGATGGCTTCACGACGGCCCAAGAAGCTTCCAAGACGCAGCAAGAGGCCTCCAAGAGACCTCACGAGAAAGCCCCGACAGGCAAACATCATTGATTTTCCTTAGGTTGTTCCATGTGTTTGGCCTTCTCGCCTTGTCGGCTCTCCGATGCTCCAAGACGGCCCAAGACGGCCTCCAAGACCGCCCCAAGACGGCCCAAGAGGCCCCCAAGAGGGCGCCAACACGGCCCAAGAGGGCCCCAAAACGGCCCCAGAGGCGCACAGGACGGCCCAAGAGGGCCCCAAGACGGCCCCAAGAGGGCCCCAAGAGGGCCCCAAGACGGCCCCAAGAGGGCCCCAAGAGGGCCCCAAGACGGCCCCAGAGGCGCCCAGGACGGTCCAAGAGGGCCCCAAGACGGACTGGGGGCCCAAGAGGGAGCCCCGAACCGACAATTTGAGTCTCCCGCCTCAAGGGCCCCAGGAAGCCCCAAGGAGGCCCCAGAGGGCCCCGAAGACGCCCAAAGAGACCCCAAAACGGCCCCCAAGAGGCTCCAAAACGGCCCCCAAGAGGCCCCCAAGAGGCCTCCCGCGACATCCCAATGAACATCCTAGAGGCCTATGACGCACAACCCACGCACGGTGGCGGATGGGCCGCAGGGCCATTGGATACCCGCCCTACTTGTCTGAGGCGGAAATCTCGGCCCTACTTTTTCGCGTAGTTTGGGGTGCATGTCCGAAGCCATTGCTAAGTAAGGAACTTTTGTATAGCGTGTCGCCCCGGCGGCCCAGGCGGCACGCTATGCCTTGCGAGCGGATAGAGTGTCGCTCCGCTCCGCGGGGAGGGAGACTCGGGAAAGCTCGAGACGTTGACGCCTGGGGACCGCGAAGTGGATAGCGTGTCGCGCCGCAGCGCGGTGGGCCAAAACCGGCGGAGCGACACGCGAAGCCAAAAGCTCCCCATCGCAAGTCGGAGAATCGCCCAAAGATATGGCGGATCCAGAGCTAAGCGGGGGGAGCCCCCGAGGCCGCGGCCGCGGCCCCGCGCCCACCGCGCGGCAGGCACCTGCCACCAGCCGCCGCGGCGCCGGCCAGCGGGGGCGCACCGCCACTGGACAGGGCACTGACCGCGGCACTGGCCGCAGCACCGCTTGCTGCACGAACCGCAGCACCGCTCGCCGCGGCACCGGCCGCAGCACCCGAACCGCCGCCACTGGCCGCAGCACCCGTGCCGCCGCCACTGGCCCTGGCACCGGCCGCAGCACCCGTGCCGCCGCCACTGGCCGCAGCACCGGTTGCCGCGGCATCGGCCGCAGCACCGGTGCCGCCGCCACTGGCCGCGGCCCTGGCCGAGGCACCGCTCGCTGCCGCGGCCGCGGCGCGGGCCGCGCCGTCGGGAGCGCTGCCAGCCTGATGGGCCGCCGGCATGGTCTCGCTGCCTCTCACCACCTCTCGCTGTGAAAAAAAACACGGCGGGAAAGTTTTGGCCGTTTTCGGCCACCGGGGGCTCTTGCCTGACCTCTCGAATACAAAAGATCGGCTTGGGATAAGAAGCCAGCGCCCAGGGAATGGATCCAAACCTCAACGGGCCCATGTTGCAAAACGACGGAGTTCCGCACGTGTGCATCTCATTTTCCTGGCACGTTCCGCTGGTAGTGTCTGGCTGTGAGGTTATGTCTGGCTGTAGCCACATTCACCAATCCCCGCAGAGATGGATGCGCCCCCCGTGCCAAGCCTCCTCCTTCTCCCTCCTCCCCGTCACTCGTCTTCCCTCCTCCTCCTCCTCCTGTTCCTCCTGCTCCTCCCCCTCCTCCTCCTCATCCCCCTCCTCCCCCATCCTCCTCCGATCTCCTCCATGCTCCTCCTCATTCTCCAGCTACGACAAAGACGAAGATGACGACGCCAACGACGACGATGACCACGACGACGACGACGACGACGACGACGACGACGACGACTACGACGACGACGACGACTACGACGACGACGACAACAACGACGACGACGACGATGACGACGACGACGACGACCACGACGACGACGACGACGACGACGACGATGACGACTACGAAGAAAGTGCCGGCACGCACGAGCAATTCGCTCGAGACAAACCCACAATCTGAAACCAGCGAATCGCCCGAGACACCCTCGCAACCTGCTCAAAAAGCAAAGGAATCTGCCCCACCAAACAGACCAACCGCTCGGGCCCGTGCAACCACCCCTCCATTGGGTGCTGAAATCAGCGCCTCGCTCGAGACATCCTCAGAATCCGCTCTGAAAGCAGGAGTCTAGGCCACCAAACAGGCAAACCGCTCGAGATATCCCCACAATCAGGGCGCGCGCGGGCACGCGCAAACATCCTGGCGGCTCCCCCTTGGGAGTGCTGAAAGCAGCGCCTCGGTCGAGACATCCTCAGTCTGCTCCGAACGCAAAAAGAGCTGGGCCAGCAAACAAGCAAACCGCTCGAGACATCCCCACAATCTGGGCGCGAACGGGCCCGTGCAAACACCCTGGCGGCTCCCAATGCTACGCTGCTCTGAAACCAGAAGAGTCTGGGCCACCAAACAAGCACACCGCTCGAGACATCCCCACAATCTGGACGCGAACGGGCCAATGCAAACACTTTGGCGGCTCCCCCTTGGGAGTGCTGAAACAAGCGGCTCGGTCGAGACACTCACAATCTGCGAGTCGGAGCCCAAGTGCGTCGCAAGGCTGAAAAAGTCTGAGTATGAGTGAGTCTGAGTTTGAGGAAGTCTGAATACTGAGTGAGTCTGCATATGAGCAGGTATAATAATCAATTCGTCTTAGTGCGAGGGAGTCTGAGTATGAGACTGAATGTGAGTTGGGTCTGGGTAGGGGGGAGTATGAGCGTGAGTGAGTGTTGTCACTCGCGAAGTCGCGACTGAGTCTGAGTGTGAGTGAGTCTGCGTAGGAGAGGGTCTGAGTGCAAGTGAGTATGAGTGTGAGTTAGTCTGTGGGTGAGTCTGAGTATGTTTGAGTCTGAGCGCGAGTGAGTCTAAGTATCAGCGAGTCTGAGTATGAGTGCGCCTGAGCGTGAGTGAGTGCGAGTGAATCTGAATTTGGAGTGTGAATAAAGTTGCGTGTGATTGAGTCTGAGCGCGAGTCTGAATGAGTCTGAGTGTGATGAGTGCGTCTGCATGAGGAAGGAGAAGAGGGAGGAAAGGAGGAAGCTCCACAAGCGTCTAAATAATAACACGAAACCCATCTCAGGAGATGGGGAAACACACACAACGTCGGACTCTGGGATCCCTGCGTCGCGAAAGCACACGCTCCAAGGTTTTTCACGATGTTCGACATCTGGGGCCCCCACGTGGCCCTGGGGCCAATAAAGAAACAAGCTCGGGATGGAAAGCCGGTCGGGACCTCAAGGGTCCACGCTTTGAAGAAATCACGAACAGAAGCTCAAGTTCTGAGGTTCCCCAATTCCCTCCCTGCACCTGCCAGGGGGCCAGAGTGATCCTCTATGCAAGAGTGGCCTCTGGTGCCCAGCACTGCGAACGTTGCGCACATTGCGGCAGCAGCGGCAGCCTGCGCGCTTTGGATTGGACCCCCCCGCACCCCCAGAAACCCGCGCACCGAGGGTCACAATGGCGACAGGCCACTCTTGCTGAAAAGGTGGACGCGCGAACGAACGAAACCCATGTGGGCCAGTCTGAGGACAGAGCGAGGCAGCGACGGGCCACGAACTGGATTGAGAAAGCGAAAGGGGAGGCCGGGGGACAGGGGAGGAAGCGGCAGCAGGAAAGGGCCTGCTGCACCCCCGCGCTGCTACTGAGCGAGGAGGCCCTCCAGCACACAACTCCCTCCTGACAGTCCTGCCGCAGGATTCCCTCCTGAGCTCGTTCGGCGTCTGAACTCACTCGGCCTGCGGAAGGGCCACCGAACTGGCTCAATTCCGACAGGCTGATGCGAAATTACCCCGCTCGGCAACCGAATAGGCCCAATCCCACGTCCCAACGGCGGCCGACTGGGCTCAGACGCCGAACGGGCTCAGAAGGGAGCCCTGGGGAAATCAAGGGCCGCCCCACCCTGTCCCCCTCTCCATCGTCTCCCGTCACCGTTTCTAAGTCCCACGCCCAAACAGTCGTGGGCCGATCCTGCGCCTCCTCCGTCCTCTCTTGTCCCATCCCCGTTCCTCAGTCGATTACCTCGCCTGTTCCATCCCTCCCCCATGTACCTTCTTTCCCATTTCTTCTTCTCCTCTCGCCCCTCCCCCATCATCTGCCCAGCTCCCTCCTGCCTCGCATCTCTTTGCCCTCATCCATTCCCGTCGACCCTTCTTCCCTCCTCCATTTTGCCCCCGCTGCCCCAGAGCTCATATCCTCCTCGGCCTGATCCTGCTCTTCTATTACTAGAAGAAACAACTTCATACATGTACAGTGTCCGATCTCTGCGCGGACCTTCGAAAGTTCATGTATATGCCATTTGCTATTCTTCGATTATCCTCCCCCTCATACTCTGATCCTCCTCGTCGCCATCTGCTTCCTTGTCCCCTCCCCTCCGCTTGCACCCCCCCTCGTGAACGTCGTCGCGCCGTCATCTTCCTCGTCCACATCATCAACATCACTGTCATCATAGTTGCACTGATCATTCGTCTCTTCCGCCTCCTCACCCTCCTCATCCTCCTACTCCTCCTCCTCCTTCTCCTCCTCCTCCTCCTCTTCCTCCTCCCCCCCTCCTTCTCCTCCTCATCCTCCTCCTCCTCTTCCTCCTCCTCATCCTCCTCCTCCTTCTCCTCCTCCTCCCGCCCCGCCTCTTACAATACACAACGCCGGCGAAACATGCCGCAAAAGGTTGTGTGCAGATTCAGTTCCATCCAGCCCTCCTCGATAATGCCTTCTCCCTGCATATTGCTCCCCTCTCCCCCCATATCCTTCCCCACCCTCAAGCCCCCCCCTCCCAATGCTGATCCATCGCGTTCCTCCTGCCCCCACCCCGTCTCCGCAGCAGACCAGCGGGACCAGTCGAACAGGGCGCGGCTCGGCCCCTGCGTTGACTGCACCCCGCTCTGCCCTAGCGTCTGCACTCGCAAGAGTCTGCCCGTGCAGCCGCCTCCTTGGGAAGCAGCTTGAGGAAGCCATGCTTGTGGTCGTAGAAGATGTCGCCGCGGACGGCGTCCAGGTCGAAGGCCTCCGAAAGGGCAACAGAGAACTGAGAACCCCTGGACCCCCATCGGCCCTGTAGCCCCGCTGAACATGGATCGGGTCATTGGCCCACGCTGGAGCCGAAGCTCTGGCATCTGGCTGGTTGGCGCCATAGCCTCCAAGGGGGCGGGCCTCGAGCGCCGAAAAGCTCCGCGCACGCGATTGTGATATCACTTCGGGGACTGAACATGCAAACGCAAATTCCCGCGTCCCGGCATGAAGCCGACGGGGTGGGTAGGTCGGAGTGGGGGGGGGGCACTTTCTTGCCAACGCACAGTGGATTAATAGACACCTGGGAGCCTCACATATGATAGTTTGTCAGAGAAGACCTCCGCTGATGAAAACTGCAAGCACACCAGCTCGCACAGTCCGAAGCGAAGAAGGAGGACGGAAGGAGGAAGTGAGGGAGGAAATGAACTACTAAATGCGTCAACATGTCCGAATACCATGCCTGGGACGGATGGCCCCAAGCTGACCATCAGAGAAGTGCATCGTTCTAGGGGCAAAGTCGCAAGTTGGAAACGATAGCAATATAATACTACAGCTCAAGAGCGTCGACGAACCTTGCTGATCCGCGAACTATCCCTGACAGCAATCCCAAAATGGCCTGTCACTGTGGCGGCAGAACCCCTGCCAACGACCACGCTCTGGAACCGGCACCCTGCCCGGGAAAGACACGGCAAAGCAGGACACGACGACGCCCTTAAGACGAAAAAGAGGAAGAGGAAGAGGAGGGCCAGAGGAGGAGCAGGACGAGAAAGGCTGAAATCGAACATCGGCGGCGCACCGCGCCCGCCTCGGCCCGACGGGGAGCGAAACGGGAGCCCTGTGGTTGACGCGACTGGCCAAGGCGGACAGCTATCAACGGTGGGCCGCACAAGACCAGCCACCCACCACAAATGTCCTCAAGCCTTCTTTGCCGCATGGCGCACCGCGGCCACAGCAGGCCCGCGTAGAATCCTTCGCGCGGGCCAGCATAGCGACAGCCCGCTCACGGAGACGCTA